GCTCACTATTTGATGTCACGTCCAAAACTGCGAATGCTAGGAAGTTGAAGTTGTCCCGGTCAATGTGCAGGGTAGCGATGGGCCATTAATTCGTCGATTCGCACAAATGATCAAACCCCATAGTCAGCTGAATGGTGGCGTAATGTGGAACCCCCTTCTTTCTTCCTCATTCCCCCTCTATGAGAGACGGTACTGCAAAGTTTGGTGCAAAAATGCATGATCGCACCGGCTCGCCTGGTGCGTTCCAGCCTGGGTTTCACACCTACCTTGTGCGCTCAGTACCGTAAATCATCGTAAATTTTGCATAAACGAAAATAAACAATTTTTGTTTAGCGGTCGTTTTCTGAAAAGACCCAGCTATACAATGAGAAATTTTCCTGTCAAAAATTTAAGTGCCTGTACACGAGAAATACGCGTACCTGGAGGCTGAATTTGAAGCCTTTAAGTCATATTTGAAAGGAGAATATTCCCCTAAAATCTCAGCTTCCCAGCTCTGCTGCTTCCCAAGTTAGCAGTTCTTCCCGTCAAAAATTTTCACGTAGCCGCGCCTGAGAACCACGCATGCATGATGGCTAAATTTGATAAATTTAATTTGTGCATGGGCGTGGGATATTCCCTTAAAATTCCAGCCTCCTGGCTTTCCTGATTTCCGAGCTAGCGATTTCCGTGCCAGGAAACCTCATGGAGCCGTACGCGGGAACCGCGCACGCCTGGAATCTGAATTTGAAATCTTTGAGTTATATTTGGACGGGGAACGTAACTTTGAAGTTTCAGCTTTTTATCTTTCCTCGTTCCGGAGTTAGCAATTTTCCCGCCAAAACTTATACCTTCTCGTATGCGGAGTCCAGACTTGCGTGAGGGTTGGTACCGCTCTCCTGGAGTGGCACTTGGCCGGGGAACCCACTAGCAAAATTTTGGCGCTGAAGCCTGTTTGATTGCCGAGTTGGAATGCCTGGATAGACGAATACACAACACACAAACATACACACACAGACTGGATCGTCGCAATATGCGTTTTTGCAATTTGCATATAGGTAAAAACGCATAAAAACCTAGCTTATAACAAGGATAAGTAGCTGGGCAAACTACCTCAGAGGATCGTGGCCACATGCCATTTAAGAAGCAATCCTGCAAACGTTAACTCAATAAGCTTACTTATAATGTCCAACACACACGCTAAGTGGTACTATCTCGCCTTCGTCGTTCATTCATACGCCTGTAAGTCTGCACTGAGCTTTCACTTATGCCTGTGTTATGCGTTTGCGCATGTCAAATTTCAATTTACAAAATTGCCGAATCTCAGGCGCTAAGTAAATATATGCTCACTCAGGAAGGTTCCAATATTCAGTATCAAACTGTTGCGGTCAAGTGTGCCGGACCGCTCCTATTGCAACACATGTACTGCTCGAAGAGATGCAAACAAGCAGTGAAGATTAACAGGAACTGAATAGACCGTTGAATAACTTCTTTTCACAGCAGGTTAAAAAACTCATTTGATGTAAAGATTCTGAGCAAAGAAGGAAGCGTTGGAAGAGATTGGAAATCTAATTATTGCATGAAATAGTGAAAAAAAGGCGATCGCACTGATAAGTTTGGTATGGACAGCTAATTAACTCTTGCAAAATATTGTGTCCTGGAACAGACCCAAACAATGATCGTAATATTGCGATATGATCGGGTGGGCAAGCATCCGCCACAAGTTATGTGTGTATAAGGCAGAATCGACCAGTGAGATAGCAGTTCTTCATCAGTTATGTGTTCGGATATCACAGAAATCGTTGGGGGAGAAGCCGCAGTGGCCGGTGAACAGCTGACATGTTCGGTGTTTTAATTTGCTGATTGTGCGTGGTGTTACTGAGGGCTGTAGGGACGGCCCTGTATAATTGTGTGTATTTCGTTATTTGCTTAAATAACGATTTTGTCGTTCGCCGGATCTAACGAAGTAAATTACTAGTAATAATAAGTGCATCAATACACAGTTATCGAGCGTTATGGGGCTCACGATGTTCTTTTGAATTCTTCGAAATCGA